GGGGACAGCGGGATCCCGATGACAGTGAACAGAAATTCCAAATATTATGTAGAATTTAAAGGAGACTCGCTAAGCGCGTTAAAGTTTCATTGTGCTCCGTCCTCAGGTCTGAAGTTGAAACATGGAATTAAGAGGGAGCAAGAATTTGCATAGAATTCCTGTCCAGCTAATAAGATGGTTAAAGTCGAGTGATAAATTTAACTAAAAATATGTGCCATTACATGAAAATTACTAAAGTCGGGCTAGATTTAAATAAAAATATGGGCTCTCCTCCCTTGGCTCGCACCATAGTAATTAGCAGGCCAGACACATTCACAACACGTATCTATAATTGCCAGATCTCGACCAAGTGCAATCATACTTAATGCAAAGTGGTCAGTAGTGCTGCCGCCCCTCTATCCGTCGACTATCCCCGCCCACTGGGGGGTTTTCAATTGTGGCACTCTTCTTGGGGCCCTCATTTCATTCACCTGGCTGCTGGCCTTATCACGACCTTTTGCGGCCTATTCAGAGGAGCCGTTCCCCCTTTCCGCTCCTTGATTTAGGCACGTAGGCGTGCTCAAGCGAGCGACAGTCGGGCTAACACAAACACACACACACACCAGCACAGGGAGCATTGGGCTACACACACACACACACACGCACACGCGCACAGCACATATTTTAGACGGTCACTTTAAACCTTTAACCCGGGAACCAAGTACGGACCCAAGGAAACTACCCAGCCCGGGTATTTCCACTAATTCAAGGTTTATTTTCTTGTCGGCTAAAGTAGTTCATAAGCTAAGAAAAGATCTCAAAATACCAAAGAAAGTGCTGTAAAGGCACCAAGGTGTCGAAAAGTATGCAATAATACGTTGTAAGCCCATAATCCTGGGGATAAATTCCTGGCTGCATAATTTCGAGCACCTTTACGGGTCCCTTCTAATAATCCAAAAATAATTGAATTGACCACTGAAATTTATACCTTTCTTAATATGTTAAGACTTAACATACGTACAATTTGTGTAATCTTCTTCTTAACACTTACAGTTTTTAAATTTGTAAAGGTGAACCACTCACATTTAAACTTGGTCTCCATTTGTTGAACTATAGGTGAGCCCGCCCAATGGGAAAGGGTATTTCCGCGCAATCAGGAAAAACGCCTGGCCTTCCCTTAACCCTTTCCCGGCCCCTTTGGGCCTGTTTTCCCTGTTCATTTCAGTCTCGGCGTGTTTAACCCTTTTGCCGGGCCGCTTTTATTGCCCCTTGCGTGTGTGTGTGTGTGTGTGTGTGTGTGCCCTCCGAGTGTATGTGTGCGAATTATAAACTATTGTTTACACAAAGCGGAAGTCCTGGGCCAGCGTCTGCCATATATGCTTCATTAAATTATGCTTTATTAGCCTTTCGGGACTTGAATATGAAGTAGCGCTGCCCCTCGACTCACCTCGTCAAAGCCATAAAATTTGGCTCTTGCCTTGGGCCGTTCGAGGGTTAAGGGGGCTTGGAGGGGGCCTGAAGGGGTGCGGAAGGGGGCTAAGGGAAAATTTATGTTTTTGTCAAGTGATAAAATTTTTAGCTTACACGAGCAGTTAAGCGAGAGAGAAAAAAGGGGCCAGAGATAGTGAAACCATAAATTGAAAATTCAATTTCTTCAAATGTGCCACCTCACCTTTGGCCATTTACGATTTGTTTGGGTTAAGTCGGAGAAGAAAAAAGGCGAATCCCTTAACCCTTTTCCGAGATCCCTTCTATTTGCCCCCACCCCACTGGTCCCCCAGCTTGTTTGTGTACCCAAGTTTATTTAGGGCATAGTAATTGGCGTCTGTGAAATGCAAATTGATCATTTTCCGCTGGCGCACTAATTAGTCAAAGTGTCCCGCAAGGATGTGTATGAATGGGCATGGGCATGAGTTTGGGCATAAGCATGGGCACCCAAGGGTTAAATCAACACCGAACTGAGGACAATGCCGAGCTCATCGCTCATCATCAGCTGATTAGACCGGCCCTGCGACTAGATAAACACGTTCCCATCTCATTTTCTGCACCAACATCAAAAGGGAATTTTTTCTGCTGAGTCCGCCCCTTTTCCGATTTTCCGTTTTTCCGTTTTTCCGATTTTCCATTTTCCCCTTGTTCCGCAGAGAGGTTCGCAGCGAGATCAAGGTGGATGAGCTCCACCTTGAGACGAGTCTCAGCCAATTGATTGATGTTCGGCTAGTGCTCACCTCAAGCACACAGAAATCAAGGGGAAATCTCGGAAATATGCTAACAAAAGTGTGCGCCTCTCGAAAGAACCGACTGCCTTTTTTCTAATTAAGCCAGCAACGACCTTCAAAAGCCAACAAAGAGCCATCGAGAATTCAAGAGGGTTTCTTCCAAAGACTGGTTGACGAAGGACTTGAGCGAGGGGCGACGAAGTGCTGCAAAATTGGTTATGGCTAATCAGTTCAATGTCAATTGCTAATCAAGATAGACGGAAAACTACTTGCAACATCCGAGCCCAGAAGTGAGCGGGACAGAGTGAGCCAGGGAAAGTGGCAAATAGCTCGGAAACATAACCTAATCAATGTGCCAACTAGTTGGCTCATCCTGCAGTCCATGAAGCACGGATGCAGCGCCCAGTTAAATGGATCACTCCAATAACCGATTAGAGCGCCACTGCAAAAAGCCAGCGTGCACAGGGTCCATAAAAATACGGCAAGTCCCAAAACAACTAAATCAGTTTTAAGTTATTCAAGGCAACACGAGCCAACCAGGCGAAAAGCAAACGAGATCCGAATAGCCATTTAAAGGCAAAACAAACAGATATGGGCGAAATATCCACAGATATATTGGTGTTATAGGTGCAGTACACTGCCAGTGCATTCCAATCCAATTATTAAACAAATTATTTATGATTTAACCTTATGATTTAAAACTGTGCCTCTCGCTATTGCTACTTTTAGTAGAGCTACTTGAACCTATTGCTAAGTTTTGGTTCTCTGATTCGCCATAAATTAAACTTTTTTGTGAAGTGTACGTCTGCTACGGGTTTTTTTGTAGGGGGAATAAGCGGATGTTCCTCATCCAGAGTGAATTTGCACTGGATACGCTGCCAAATAAATTCCGATAGGGGCGCACTGAGTTGGGGATATGCGAACATAAAAGCCACTGGACGCTCCGCTGTGCCCCATATATTTCGAGGATATATATCCTGCATACATCGCATATATACATATGTACATGCGAATTCCTAATCGATTTGCTGGCGCGAATAAAAAAAATAACGAGAGGAGCGCCAAACGGAAATCAAATTAAATGAATTATTTAATGAAACACAAAACCGAGTGGGTGGTACAGGCGGCCAGATTACACGATTATGTGAGTTACGGTCAAGAATGTTTTATGAATGTTTATGGGCGCGTAAAATCTATTACGTCACGGCGTCGAGCGTCGGTTTATTGTCGCAGCGGTCGTAACTCAGAGGAGTCCAGGACTCGAGGACTCGACAGGAGCCGCAGTCCCCTCTCACCTAATAAAGTGCAGTTGCGATACCCTAACTTTTTGCGGCTGAAAGTGTACCATCTGGAAGCCTGAAATATTATAGATTCTGATATGTTATGATTAACAGCGAAATTAAGTTATGATGAATACACAAAATCACTGTAACATTTATTTACTTTTAGTGTCCCAAATCTTTTCACCAAACCCGTCTGGCGATTCGCGTCCATTCCAAGCCCAGTAAAAATATTTTTCGAAGGGTATTCGCCGCTTATTTTCCGCTGCTTCGCATAACATTCCTCCAAGTTGGGTATATAAAATAAAGATGACTTTCAGTGCCTGCCATGCATATAAATGATAAAAATACATGCTAATGTTTGTCTGGGCTCTAACTTACCCTCGACTTTCCCCGCCCCAACCTGATCCCACTACTGTATCTGTGTGGGGAAGGGGGCAGGGTGGGAGGGGGAATTATGTCCTGGGAGCCAACTAAAGCAAAAGCTAATGGCATGCTTAAGTTTCAATTATTGGTAATAGAATTGCCTGGGAATCGAGAATGATTCTGCTCTTTTGGCCAAGGATTTGATTTGCCTTTTCTCCATCTCGCTCACTGCCTCTCGTCCCCTCTCTTTCTGACTAATTAAGCGGGCGGCGGGGGGCAGGGGCAGGGGCAGGGGGAGGTGGAGGTGGCTTATGTTAACCCGCCTGTGGACACACATCAATCTCTGTCCGTTGATTGATGCGTTCTGCGACCAGTCTTGTTTTTGAAAGCAAAAATTAAACTCGCATGCGAGTGGACGAAAAAGATGGTAGAGTGAGCCGGAAATAGATGGCTATGTGAAAGAGACAGAGAAAGAGAGCAAGAGAGAGAGATGGAGATTTGCTGACACAAATCCAAAAGTTTTCGGAGGCAATTCCTTTAGATTTGTCAGCTTTCTCTGGGGGGTTTCCAGCTTACTTTATTTCTATTTTTTTGCTTTTTCGCCCCCACTTTAACCCGCTTTCTGCCAGACATGGTTTTAACCCTGACAGATGGTTTTTTTTCTCTGGTGCACAAGTTTCTACATTAACCCCCAAAAATAGTGCAGGAAGCAAAAAAGCAGACGAAGCCGCATTTAAATTTACCCTCGACTCTGGGAATTGAAAGAGTTTTTTTTTTGGTTGACGCTCACGTTGCACATGCTGCCCATTTTTGGGGGGCTGGTGGGGGGGATGGCTATGGGTTCACGAATCGGGATTCAGGGGGCAAATGCCAGAAATAATGGCTCTGCCAGCTCAAGAAAAATTGCAAACGAAAAGTTTTTAACTACGTGCAAGGGGAAAGGCGTAATTTAGGTGGCCAAAATAGGTGGTGCTGTGTGTAATTTTGTGCCGGGCTGAAGGAATGCTTCTTGGAGCTCGGTTTTAGAGCCATTCGAAGGCAACGCCCATTAACCACCCAGTTTCCCACCCATTTTTCCCCCGCCTACCCGGAAAACCAGCTGTAATTAAAGTCGCGCAACGGGAAATGCGAACTTTCCGGCTTTAAAAGCACGAAAATGGCGAAACTCAAGGCGCTCAACTTAAAGAAGGAGTTTTTCAAGTGGGTCTCCACCATGAAACTCGTTACAGTCACAATAGTTTGTATGCCAGATCACCTAATATTCTGGATACAATATCGAGTACGTGTGCTTCCTTCCTCAGCCAGAGTTCACTGTACCCGCGACTTAGTCAAAATTTTCGCCATCATTTTCGTTTGCTTAGCTCTTCATTCAGAGACGGAAAGCGGCGATGTAGAAGAGTTTTACCAGGCCAAGTATCTCAGCTATTTTCTTGCCAAGTTTGTGAATAGTTCAGCCGGCCACGCCCCCTTTTGCCGAGATGCCCTACGGCTCAACCAAAAATTTGAGAGGGAGAGCGTTAAAAGTTGAGGAACGCTGACAATTTTCTTGGCTTGTTTTATCCCCAGGAATTTGATTATGCAACAATAAATCCTTTGGTCCAATTGGTGGGCGGTGCGCGGTGGGCGGTGCGCGGTGGGCGGTGGCACGCCCAGCGGTGGCTTCAAGGACTCTGGCCAACAAAAAAAGCAGAGGCAAGTGGCGGCAAACAAAGTTTCATGTGCCTTTTTGGTATTTGGGCCGCTTCTCGCTCACGTGAAATTAGCATGCGAAAATATTTGTCAAAGATTTGAGCAGAATTATGCGCAGTGTTTGCCCAAACACAAACCCACTAACAAACACACACAAGAACATGGCAAACTTTGCAGAATTTTAATTTGAAATTTTCGACGAGTTCGATGCGTGTGTGTATATGAGCCAGGGTGTGTGTGTCTGTGTGTGTGGACAGAAAGTTTGGATGCCAGGCAAAATATTTGCCAAAAACGAAAAATTATGCAAAAAAAAGGAAAGCAAGAAAAAAACGGAGGAAAAGAGAGAGGCGGATGAAATTATGTGCCAACATAAACTAAAGCGAAAATCGCTTCAAAACTTGTTTGCCAAGTTGTCTATCTCTTTCCGGCCAGTGGCAGCCCACTCTTTCGCTCCCGATAAGCCATTTCCATAAGCTGAAACTGAAACCGAAACTGCAGAAGGATCTTTTTTGGCCACACTTGATACAGTGCGTTTCGACCGCGTTAGGCTGGCCGAAAATGAAAATAATTGTCCCGAAATGCATGAATTTTAAAGGAATTATCTCATTTTCACTAGACTTTTTTGCACAAATTTTATTCAATAGCTCATTTAATAATATTAAACGGAACACGTAAAAGTTTCATACGATATGGCTATGAATATTAAGCGAAAACAAATAATTAGGATTATATTTGGGCTTTTAGTGCTAAGACTTTGACCTACTTTGAGGTATCGAATCGTCGGGCTATGCGATTCTTAACTTTATATTTCCAGGGTTTCATTTTTTGGTGTCGTGAAAAGTTTAATTCCCCACCCGTTGTTCTTTATTGTTGTTTAGGCCGGAAATCGGCCTGTAAATCGCCGGACTCCTGGGGATGTTTCATTTTCTTTTGGGTTTTTGGCAGCTCTGCCAAGCCAAGTGAACAGCATAAAGTACGCGAAGGATTAGCGAACAACAAGGGGCTGTCTCCGGGGGCAGTGGGCGTGGCACCACCACAACCGCCGCCACCGCCGCCCTTTTGTGCGGACACGCGCCCAATAGCCGCTTTTAATGGCATTGAAAATGGTCGCACCGAAGATCCAATGATGACCAAATGCGTGTGGGTGGTGGGCGGCGGGCGGCGGGCGATTCGATGGTGTCCAATTACGTCGCATAAACAATGCGTTTTTTATGGCCTGTGCGATTATGGGAGCAGCGGCAACACAGAACAGAAAACCAGATAAGCTCCAACGACGCCGCCGGCCGCGCTGACGTATACGTGATTTTTTGATGCCTGCTGGCCCCGTTTCCATAATGTATACGTACATGGCCATAAATGTGTGTGTGTGTGTGTGGGTGTGTGTGTTACAACAAACCAACATGCAAGCCAAACAGGGAATAAAGATTAAAGAAGGCCAATCAATCGAATACCCTGCCCACTTTCCAGTTCTCAAATCGTCCGTGGCTTTTCCCTAGCTAAATATTGTATAATACGTTTTCTTAGCTCATCTGATGAAAATCAATGAAATGAGGGTTTCAACAATAAATCTTTCAATTTTAAAAATATACTAGCTAAAAGCAAGAGCAATTTCGATTTGGATACATCCTTAAATGTGGTGATACCCATTAGAACAGCACCCTGTATAGAACATCTTTGCTTCGAATATGCCACACTATTTGGGGTTGCTTGAGGGGTTTCGCGTCATTTTTGCGTATCGATGACGTCGACACAATTTTCGTTACATTATTTGTGGCATTGTTTGGAGCCGCACCGCCCGCTCCCTTGGAAAACCCAACCAACACATGCATAACTGGCTTTCTTGCTGTTTCATGTTTGTTTCTCCTTTGTGTTTTGTTTGCCCCATCCTGTTGGCCCTTCTTTTGTCTTGCTTTATGTTTCCGCCGCTGCTGCAGTTTCCAGCGCCCAACCCCCTGAATAGCGCCCCCGAAAAAGGAAAGCACACCATTTCATTTTGTTCTTTTGTCAATTGACAGTGAAAACTAACGATACGGAAAAGTAAACGCACTGTGAGTAATATTAGTTTGTAATTTGATTTTATGCTTCTGTTTTCTTTTTCCCCGCACAATTGCAGGCAATCCCACAGGCAGACCCCAAGCACATGGAAATGGATTCTCGTCGAGACTTGGCCCGTTTCCGTTTCCTGCCAACCATCGCCATCTTGGCCATCTCGCCATATTTGCTTTTGGGGGGTATTCCCCTCTTGATGTACTTGGCATTAATGCACTGACAATTGTTTCGATGGGAGCAAGTGAGCCACTTAAATTAATTTAATGTTCTCACTCGCGGTTTCGAGGGCCGGAATTATGCGAATGGAGTGCTAGAGCCAAGTTTATTTTGGGGCGGAATGGGGGCTATTACAGTGTGGATATGTTGGCTAACTCCATAGCGCCAACTGTGGAACAAATGAGTCACCATGTAGTCATTCTGGCAGCCGTACAAAGAAAAGATTTCCATAGAACTAAAGCTGATTATTGTAAATTATTTATGCTTTTATAAATCCTTATAAATTCTTATAAATTTAAAGAGACTTCTGCATGTGCCAAATCTTTTTTAAAAATGTTTCCAATTAAGACGTGGATATATGCACATATGTAGGTAGTAAAATGATTTTTATATGGTTTGTTTCATTCACTACATTGAGGGACTTCCTCAAGGGTTTAATCCAACTACCATTTCAGAAACCTCAATAGCGTTAATTTCTGCCCTACTTATTTCATTTTGCGGTTGCACAATTTTCGGGAGTAGTAGATTTTCATTTGCCACTTATTTCCCTTGCACCTTGCACTGACATTCGCCCACTTTCTTAGTCCGATTTCCGGAAAGCAAAAATGCAAATGGCTAGCAGAGAGTGAGGAAAACCATTGTGGGCCACATTTCATTTGGAGTGTAGTTTGTGAAATATTTCGCCCTCTTTTTCGTGGGCCTATCTCCCTCTCACTCTCCCTCTGACCGCCACTCCTGCCCTCTCGCTCACTCCGAGCATTGTTATTATTATCGCCATCCTTGTTGGTTTTGTGGCTGTTGTTCGAACGTTAAGCAAGGATCTAGGTCGCTATTTGAATATATTGTTTGTATCTAAGATTAGTGAGCCAGATATCAGTGGTATATGGCCACACACCGACACACACCAACACACACCAACACACAAACTCACACAAGCACACATGGACATGCTGTGCATATATCATTTGCATAGTTAGACAAAGATGGTTGATAAGTCGATGCGAAATTTAAGCCGCATTAAACGCTTCTAGCAAATGCACTAAATAAAATGCGAAATAAATTGCGTGATAGTGGAAGTGCTTTGGACGGCTAATTTAACTGAATATGGCAATCTGAAAATAGCAAAAACAAATTGTTAATGGGTAAGAATTTATGGGTTGCTCAAACCAGACACTTAATGAAATGAGCAAAAAAGTATAGGAATGCCTCACAAAAACAGAATTAAACCATAATCTGAAACAGGGCTTATGAGAGAAAAGGAAATTGGTCTTGAAAACAATGAGCTAAGAGGCAGAGATCTGGTATTCCCAGTTTAGGAAGGCATTTTTCCGATTCAGATCGACCGACCTTGTGCTCCAAGTATTTTCCGACATCTAAGCCGTGTGACATGCAAATATCTCAGCTCTCCTGTCACTTTTTCACTGTGGGGACACTCGCTCATCAGAAAAAAAAGAAAAAAACAGCATCAAAAAATAAGAAAATAGGAGGAAAACCCAGGAAAAAGTGAGCTAAATTACCATCAATTGGGGTCAAGGGCGCTGCAGGGGGGAAATCGCTGGGAAATAATGTAAAGCCAGCGACATATGAGCCATAACCCTCGACACTCGCAACTCCCTTCAGTCAGCCGTGACATGACACACGAAAAGGGGGTACTGGGGGGCTAGGACGACCCCTGAACATGAAAGCGAATCAAGTGAGGCCTCTGTTTCCCAGCTTTTCCCCACTTCCCCATTCGAGCTGGGCTAATGAAATTCCGACTGCGGCGAGCCAGAAACAAATGTGAAAAGTGAAGGCTGCTATACCCTGCGACTCCTATCCGTCTTTACTTGGGAAATATTTGTAAACTATAGAAACCAATGTAAAATTCTATTGGATGTATAAACGGAATGATTGGAATGATGCAACTGTGGTAGGCAAACAATATATTCCGATGGAAACTTTGCCATTAAAATGTGGAGTTATATGTTGAGATACATTTTGAAATATATACCTATGGAAATATTTGCATTACAATGTGGAGTTCCTTGAATGTTCGCAGTTCGACTTTGTTTTTTGCCTGGAACCTTCAGATTGACTGCAGAATATTAAACTGCAACTGAATATTCAAAGGATCAATAAAAGATTACCAGAATATGCCCATACTTATACCCCTTTTCACTACAATGATTTTCCAGTGAGCCACAAATCTGCAAAATCGTTGGTATTGAATTAATACACTTAAAGACAGTAATTCATATACACATGCAATCATAACTAAATCGATTACACATGCAGCGCTTACCAGACCAATGGATATTTAATAGACAAATATACCTTACGTGCAACATGCCCCGTTTGGAGGCAACTAATAGAAAGCAGAGCCAACATTATTGATTAGGTCTCTTGGTCGTCGGTTGCCATTTTCCGTTTTCCATTTTTCCGGCAGCCCCCTCCGTTAACTGATTACTGCTAAAGGCGAAGTTTTTGCTGTTCGCTGTGGAAAACTGCAATTGGAAAAATTGTCAACGTGACTGCAGCAGAAGACGAAAAACGCTGACAAGGTCGATGCAGCAGGGGCGCCGTAGGGGAGGGGGTCCTTCTTGTTTTGCAATAATTGCCACTGTGGCAACAAAAGCAAAAAGAACAACTATAGTACGATGACGTCGTCCGCGTTCGGTTTCCCATTTCCCCTTTGCCGCTTTCCGCTGGCGTTTCGCTTTCCATTTTTCGTTTGTTTTATTGCGGCTTCTTTTACTTAACAACAAACCAGTGGCGTCCGGGGTAAGGGGCGAGTAGAGGGGGCAATTTGGCAGGCCTAACATTGCTCATTTATATCGACGACCCTCCCCCCTCCACAAACCGATCTGAAACCCTCCCCCCCTTTCACCGCAATTTGTGTGTGCCTGCAGTGACCCAGTAACATGGAAAACGCCGCAGTCGTTGTATCCTCTTAGTCCTGCCAACCCCCCTCCCCCCACAGGCGTAGCCCAAGCAAGCGCCACAGCACCACAGCACCCCCACCCCCCTGGAAAACCCCTTAGCGGGGTGTCTTCCGCACAAATGCCTCCATTTGACCCACTTAAATGGCGTAATTTATGATTTTATAGTGTGAATTTTTTCTTCCTTCGCTTTGCCTTTTAAAGTGGCGCCCCCAACGGCGAGGGGCTCAAGTGTACGGCAGTGGCGTCGTCGGAAGGGGGCTTTTGGGGGTCGAAAGAGTAATGGCTGCGTCTGAGAGTCGAAGTTACGTTTCCAGCCTGAGGACTGAAGAATGTTCGAATAGATGATGGAAGCACAAGCCCAAGTTGGCCCTTCAGAGGTACACACATACATCTTCAGAGTATATATCTACATATATCTTTCCAAAACTGGGTTATATTGGGTTGAGTCTTGTGGTTTCTTTGCACAAGTTCTGGAAATTACGCTCTCCGAATTTTGCAGAAAGTTCGCTTCGATACCTGCTTATGGTGTGGGGAAATGTGTTGTTGAAAATTCCTAAAAATTAAATTATTAACGAACGTAACTTTGATTATATAGAATCCAACGGAAAATGAAACAAAACTTGCTTAAATCTTACAAATGGGGAAATTGTGCTTGAAATGAAGACCTAAATATTTATGAATGCGAATGGAAGTGCCCATTTCATGCGGCTGCTAAATCTTTTCCCTCTATTTTTATGTATGAAATATATGCGAGCACTTGTGCCTTTCTCTGTCATGTAAAGTGCCTTGGCACGATTTATGTTTTGTTAATTTTGTTGCCAAATTCAAGAGTGAGTCACATATGCATGACTTATGTGGCATTAGTCGAACCGAGTTCACTGTCCATATTTGTCTTGTTGCCTCGCTTGCCTCGTTGTTTTGCTCGAATTTCTCTGGTATCTTATTATGTAAATG